GAACGTGTTATAATTTAGACAGGTTGCAGTATTTTCTATTTTAATACTTTGCTATTTTGTCGGTTTGTCACTGGGCACACTTAACTATTCTCTTATTATTCTTTTTTTTTTTTTTTTTAGGGTACCTTAAAATATGTTGCTCAATTTCTAAAATTATATTAATTTACCCAACTTGATAGTTAATTGTGATCAGTGCTTGATTGTCACTATAGTATTGATAAACAAATTAATCTGAACTCTCATGTCACTGTCAAAGTTACTTATAATAATTGTGGCTATGGTATATATTTAATATACTTTAACGTTTCGTTTCTGTATATCACTGATTTGTAATAGCTATTATTGTTTAAGTTTAGACTGGGTGCCCGCTATTCTTCAGCTATAGTTGTTTTATATTATATTGTTATAGCTGTTATTTTGTTCGTTATTGTTCATTGTAAAGTGGGTTTAGCCTATCAAGTCAACCTACGCAATTAAGGCAAAAGTAATTAATTTTTGTTATTTTTACAAATATTGTTTTTTTTTTATAATAAGTTTTTATTTATTTTTTATTTTTATTTAAATTTATTTTTATATATGTCCATAAATGATGATTATTTTTCTTGCTATTCCTCCGATGATTTTGATAGTGCTTCGAGTCATAATTCCTCTTTATCTGATTGCGATCCTCTTGAAGATAAATTGCGGACTGTTTTCGACAATTATTCCAAACAATTTTTCCTTGTACATATAAATGCGCAAAGCATATTAGCTCATTATAATGACCTTCTTACCTCTTTCAGTGCTGGCTTAGTGGATTGTATCTTAGTTTCTGAGACCTGGCTTAAACCATCTCTTCCTTCCACTAGCTGCACAATACCTGGGTATAAACTCTTTCGAAACGATCGCATCACGTCTGGGGGTGGAGGTGTGGGGATTTATCTACGCAACCAAATCTCTGCCGAAGTAGTGTGTACATCGCAACCGCAGTTCTCTGGGTCTCTGGAATATTTGTTTCTCTCCCTATCTCTCCATCACAAAAGAATCCTACTTGGTGTCTTGTATAGCCCTAATGACAAGATTGATTACTTTAATATCTTGGAAAATACTCTAGATAACTTGGTTCCTCTTTTTGATCATGTTATACTTATGGGTGATCTAAATACATGTCTTTTGAAAAATGACCATAGGACTGGCAAACTTATTGCTTTAACATCAGCCCTTGATCTCCAGGTCTTGCCTATGCCTAAACCTACTCATTACTTCCACAACAGCAGACCTTCCCTTATTGACTTAATCATAGTTTCACAACCAAATTTAGTATTCTCCCATGGACAAATGTGTTCTCCTTTCTCACAGCATGATTTAATTTATCTGTCCTATAAAGTGCGTCCCCCTAAAAACAGGAATAGGACTCATTTACTTCGCGATTTTAAGCATATGGATGTTGAGCGTTTGAGGGAGGATATGGGGAGTATTGATTGGTCTCCCTTGTTGATGGCTTCTTGTATCGACACCATGGTGGGGATATTGAACAGCGAGTTGCTTAAAATTTACAACATTCATGCACCAGTCCGACCGGTACGGATCAAGCATGCTCCTGCTCCTTGGCTTACCCCTATTATTAAGAGAAGTATGGCAAAGCGTGACAGGGCCAAAAGCAGATATAAACATGAGAGATCACAAGTAAACTTTGACACGTATAAAAAACTGCGGAACATCTGTAACAGAATGTGTGGGGATGCCAAACGCCGATACATTCATTCTACTATTCAAAACCTTTCTCAGACCCAAATCTGGAAATTTCTCCAATCACTGGGGGTGGGTAAGTCCTCAGAAAATTGTCAGAGCGGTTTAGATCTCAATGCTCTAAATAATCATTTTTCGTCCTCCTCTGTTACACTCAGTACTGTGACTAAGGCAAATACTATATCATATCTTTCTAATCTTGTCCCACCCGATTGTCCTCCATTCACTTTTAGCTTGGTGACTGTAGATGTTGTCAAGAGAACCATTCGTTCATTATCTACTAAAGCTATCGGTAGCGATAATGTGAGCCTTGATATGATCCTTCCCGTGTTGGATGTTATTTTGCCTGTGCTCACTCACATAATTAACTTTTCTCTCATGCATAATGTCTTCCCATCACAATGGAAAAAGGCTTACGTCATACCACTTCCTAAATCTACTAATCCGACTAGCTTTTCCCAGTACCGTCCCATATCTATTCTTCCCATTCTTTCAAAAGTTTTAGAATCTATAGTTCACAGCCAATTATTTAAATTTCTTTCCACCAACAACCTTTTATGCCCCTTTCAATCGGGCTTCCGACCCTCTCATAGCACTACTGGAGCGCTTCTTAATATTACAGAGGACATACGTCGGGCTATGGATAGCACAAAATTGACTGCAATTGTTTTGTTGGATTTCAGTAATGCTTTCAATTCGGTTGATTTTGATGTTCTCCTTAGCACCCTTCGTGCAGTCAACGTTTCCACTCCAGTTATCGAATGGTTCTCTTCTTTTCTTTTCGGCCGCCAGCAGTGTGTTAGAACCAATGATGGTTTATCGAACTGGGCTTCATTAACTGCTGGCGTGCCTCAAGGCGGTGTACTTTCCCCTTTATTATTTTCTATCTTTATTAATAATATTTCTCGAGTCATTACTTCTCCCTTCCATCTGTATGCGGATGATCTGCAGTTGTATCGTCACTTTATGCTGTCTGAGGTTACACAGGCAACTTCAGCTCTAAACGATGATCTACTGGCTATTCACTCCTGGGCTAAATCATTTGGTCTTATTGTTAATCCAGCCAAATCTCAAGCTATGATTGTCGGTAGTGGCAGGCTGAGGTGTAAGTTGGAATGGTCTCAGATTCCTCCATTGGTATACGAGGGTACTAAGATATCTTATACTGATAAAGTGAAAAACTTAGGTCTTATTATGGATAGTACATTGTCGTGGACCTCTCATATTAATGACATTAGTAGACGGATGTACTTTTCATATCACTCTCTCAAACGTCTCCAATACTTTCTCCCTTTCAATACCAAAATTATGCTTGCACAATCTATTCTTCTTCCCATTCTGGATTATGCCGATGTCTGTTTCTTAGATGTGACCGAGGAGCTGCTAAATAAGCTTGAGCGGTTGCAAAATTTAGCGATAAGGTTTATTTTCAGCTTACGAAAATATGATCATGTCTCGGAATACCGCACTCGTTTAAAGTGGCTCCCAATTAGACATCGTCATGAGACACATGTCCTAGCGGTCCTATATAATATCCTTAATAATCCCAATTCTCCTTCCTACCTTCGTTCCCGGTTCCAATTATTACCTCCTCCTTCCAGACCTAGACGTCTTTGTCTGAACCAGTCCAGGGTACTGAAGCTTCCCTGCTGTAAAACCCATTTTATGGGTAACTCATTTGCATATCGTGCTGTACAGCTGTGGAATAAACTTCCCGTGAATATTCAGAATAGCCCGTCTAGCAGTTCCTTCAAAAAAAGATTAAAATCATTTTATCTTTCCAATTTAATTTAAATATAAAAATGATTAGAAGACTGTCATCATTGTGTTCTCTTGTATTTGATATTTATATGTTGTATTTAACGTGTGTATGTATGTGTGTATATGTATGTGTATGTGTATATGTATATATATGTGTATGTGTATGTATGTATATATGTGAATGCATGTGTGTATATATATAATTATTTATAATTTATGTAAATATTTATTTAAATTTCTGTCTTGCACTACTACTGCCCACTCACTACTTCCTATGCCACTGCGTTAGGTTGACTGGAAGAAATCTCTTTTAGAGATAAGTTCGCCTTTGCTAACATTGTTATTAACTTATTGTTGTTACTGTATGTTTTTGTGCAATAAAGAATATATATATTATGTATTCCATGTAACTGTTAATTAGGTATATCAATTTGTAAGCCTGAACTTACCTCATCGGTATGTAATCAACGAAAATCACTTAAGATTGGAGAACTCGTTTAACAGTGATTTACTAATGCCGATAACATTTAAATACTGTTTCTGTTCACTAGTATTATAATAACGAAACTCAATGAGATCAGTTTAAACCACTTGATAACTTTCCTTATTCCACCTCTCCACACACGCCGTCTGCTGTCATCATCTCATCTTTATGTACCTACATTTTATTGATGATATTTATTATTCGACTACCCTGTCACTACACTATATTGACAGCTAAATATATACGGGGTGAATAGATCTTCCGTGTCATAAATTGTTCCTTAAAAATCTCATGCAATTACAATCTAGCGTAATAGCGTGTATGTAAAAAACCTTAAATAGAAGTAAACACAGTACTTTGTCTATCGATAAATATAACCATATTAAAAAAATATATATAAAACTATAAAAATTGAAATTTATGTAATAAATACCTATTAATTATACGTTAAAATGACCATACCGCCCAATATTTGTTTTTCCAAGTTTAGGAATGGATATGGCTGATAACTGTGAAGTATATTTTGTTGTTGATGCGAAGAATCTCCATTGTAGTACTACAGTCTAATATCTAGCAAAATACCAACAAACGGTTGTCCCGAGTAAGCTCTAGCGTGCAGCTATGATCCGATATACAAAATACAAACATCTAATATCCAATACGACGAATAGAACTGATTAGAAGTAGGAAAAGATATAAAAAGTGTATATAAATAGGTATAAATTGAAAAATAATGATGTACAACGACAATAGGGCATGGGGTTGCCACGTGATCACGAGCAATGCACTAAATCTATGACGATTTTCAATTCATTAAACATTTACATTGTCCCTATATCACAATATTGATAAAATGTTTAAAAAATATTACTATGGATATAATAGAATGAATATTTATTTTTTATTACTATTAAAAAAAATACAAGCAATTATAATTAAATACCTCCCTTATATTAGCAATACTTAAAAATCCGCAACGCACACACAAACCTTCTTCATTGACAAAAAATTCTGTAGGGTAGATACAAGCTCCTGGTCAAATCACTAACGTACGAACAAGAGTTTCCTACCTATCCTTAGAGCAAAGATTTTTTCTCTCTCGAATCTTACTATACTGCTGACTTGCCCGACATATTGTGTATTTTATTCCTCGTGCATTTTGTGTGTGCTTTATTCCTCCGATTCGATAATAACAAAGGTAATACCGACAACATTAATACATGTTATTTGTAGACTTAAACCTGCAGCAATCTTCCTATTCTGTTTTACTTTCCTTCTCTGGCAATTGGTTGTTGTGTTTACGACCACTTGTGACAGTAGCATATACAAGAGACTCGACCTGGAGATGTAAAATGTCTAGCAAATTTCAAAATGTGTGTTTATGATATCACAACACGGTTAGAGGGTATCCTCTTTAATAGACGCCACGCGACCTCAGAACTGTCGTACTAGAAGTCCATGAAGGGCCAAAGAACATCGAACTGTATATGAGCAGTCTAAATATAATTTTAAACTGCCTCAGCATGGTTATCATATAATAAAAACTTACTTATAGCTAAACAGATCATATGTATTCGCAGTGTCCACAGTACATGGCAGATCAAACAAGGCTATGGACAATACACAAAGTAAGAATTTGCATGTCTCCGACAACACCAAACAGCGAATGACTCCATACAGTTGTGATGTATGTAGTAAATATTTTAACAGAAAATCAACATTGCAACAGCATTTGTTGATACATAGAGTTGCGAAGCCATATAGTTGTGATATTTGTAATCGATGTTTTAGTCAGGAAGCATTTTTAACACGACATGTTTTGATACATACTACTGATAAACCATATAGTTGTAATGTATGTAGTAAATGTTTTAACAGAAAATCAACATTGCAACAGCATACGTTAATACATACTGGTGATAAGCCATATAGTTGTAATGTATGTAGTAAATGTTTTAACCAAAAATCAACATTGCAACAGCATACATTAATACATACTGGTGATAAGCCCTATAATTGTGATGTATGTAATAAATATTTTAACAGAAAATCAACATTGCAACAGCATTTGTTGATACATACAGGCGAGAAGCCATATAGTTGTGATATATGTAATAAATGTTTTAGGCATAAATGGCATTTAAAACAGCATTTGTCGATACATACTGGTGACAAGCCATATAGTTGTGATGTATGTAATAAAAGTTTTCACCAAAAGTCAATATTGCAGCGACATTTGTTGTTGCATAGTGGTGAGAAACCATATAGTTGTGATATATGTAATAAATGTTTTAGGCATAAACGTTATTTAAAACAGCATTTGTCGATACATACTGATGATAAGCTATATAGTTGTGATGTTTGTAATAAATATTTTAACAGAACATCAACATTGCAACAGCATTTGTTGATACATACGGGTGTTAAACCATATACTTGTGATGTATGTAATAAATGTTTTAAAAGAATATCAACACTGCAACGGCATGTGTTCAAACATATTGAAGACGTGCTGTATTAAATGTATAATTCAAGTAGGTATAAGTATTTGTAAGACAAGATAAAGTTCAGGGGTACAAATAGCAATACCTTAAATAACAAGCATTATGTTTGACATATCACGCGATTATATATATATATATATATATATATATATATATATATATATATATATATATATATATATATATTGTGGAAAGTAATAATGTCATTATACATAATATGTAGATGTGTGTATACGTGGAGAAGTCAAAAAGTTCGCGGAATGAGGAGAAAGGGAGTTGAAATTAAACATGAAACTATTTTTCATTCTCTGTATATTCTCGCTCAACTTTAATACATTTTTCTGATCTCAAATAATTTGTCTATATCATCGAAAAAAAAAGATTTATCTTTGCTGTCAAAGTAAGCCGAAATTGGAGACTTGACTTCTTCATCGTCTCCAATTTTTATCCACTCAGCTCATTTTTCACTTTTGGGAGTAAATAATAGTCGCTGGGGGCCAAGTCTGGTCTGTAAGGTGGGTGGTCTAAATTTTTAAACCCGTATCTTTTGACAGCTTTCCTCTTCCTTTTTCCTTGACAGCTTCTTCATCAGTCGTCATGATCTTTCTGGGCGATTGTGACGCTTTAAATTTCTTCGGAGAAGTTGTGCCTTTCTTATGCCACTGCATCGACTCTTGTTTCTACTCAGGTTTATAGTGGTGAACCTAGGTCTCATCTCCAGTAACAATCTGGGCCAAAACTTAATAATGGCGTGGTGTTCAATTTTCTACTCACTGACTTCTTCCAGATTAACTTGTTTGCAGGTCGATGACTCAAAAAATAATGATTCGATTTAGTTCAAACTTAGTATATGTACTCTTAATGAGGTGCTTGACAAGTGACTATTTGGACGAGTAAACTAACCTCCACTATCCACTCCATTCCGCAAACTTTTTGACTTCCCCTCGTAACGTGACAGTTTTGATTAATTTACTATTGTATAGTAATAGTTTCTCTTATTGATAAGTGAAAATTATTTTGTTTCCTCAGGGTAGAAAAGACATTTGTGCCACTTTTTGCTGATATGACTTAATGCTGTTTAGTTCAGAATTTTACAATCTGTCAATCTTTTACAGTCTGTATATTTATTTATTAATAAATGTAATAATTTATAAATAAAAATTCATTTAGACCTCATATTTTTTATTTTTTAATAATGACGCCAATTTTGTCTTGCATTTGTAACGTTTGTGGCTTATCATAATCTTATTAAACAGGGGGAAAAGGAGTGTTAGTAGTAGGGTCTAGCATTGTCATTGCTAACAATATACTCTATCAGATCGATCTCCACGCTGTCTCCCCTTGAAACTATATTGGTTATTTTTTTATTTCCTTACGAGGGGCTAACTAACCTGCTTTCATCCTCACCTATCATCCCTCAGTGATACTACGTCAGCGTTATCAATTAAAAAGATCCTATCAAACATTTTCTGCCGTCTAGGTCTCTGCATTGAACATGTCATATCACATGGATATTAACACTGGCGTCTCGCAGGGCTCTGTGCTTTCCCCAACGCCGTTTCTGCTGTATATTAATGATTTGTTAACCTTGTTATGAACATAGATTTAAGTAGTTAAGGTCACATCACTAATGGAATGGCGTATCACTATTGTCGCGTCTTCTCTCAATATATATGTCATCACCATTGTACTAATGTCGGTCTCTATAATTAAACCAATAATTATTAAACAAGTCGTTGTCATTTATTACCAAGTCAATACAAATCTTAGTTCACATTCGTTGTTATGCGGATGATAGCACTGGGGATGCCCATTATACGGGTCGTACAAATGTCCCTCGTTCCACCATGGAGGATGATCGTGAACAGTGTCTGAATTCAAATAAATACAAAAAGCTTTGATGCAAAACAAGAACGTTAACTGGAGTCTCTGATTGGGGACGATAAAACTTAGTTCAGTTTAACCTCACTTAAACACAAGCCACAGCAAATGGTTTTTTAGCGGTGAACACGCACACCGCTAAAAAAACCATTTGCTGTGGCTCCACAGTTCCAAGGCACGTCTCTTAACATCTTTAAAAGCATTGATCCTTGGTGTCGACATCTCTAGTGACGTATCGTTTCATGGCCACCTCGAAGATATGGTAAAGCTGGCATCCAAAAAACTCTGTGTGCTTAATAGAGTGAAGCATTACTTCACGCCGGATCAGCGATTAATGCTCTACAAATTGCAAATCCGGCCCCATATAGAGTATTGCTGTTACTTATAGGTGGGAACAGATAAATACTGGCTTGAACCCTTCGACTCGGTGCAACAGCAAGCTACGAGAATTGTCGATGATCCCAGGCTTACAAGCGGTATCTAACCCTTAAGTTCTAGGAAAGATTTTGCCTCACTCTGCGTATTCTACCGCTTGTATAACTGATTGTGCTTAGAGGAATTATTTAGTATGATGCCCACGATTCCTTTCTACCATCGTAGGGCTCGCCATCGACAGGGAGTTCACCTTCCTATCCTACAGCCAAAATGGTCGCGTACAACGCGGTTTCAGAAATGTTTTCCCTCAAGAACACAGGTTATGGAATGAGCTGCTAGCCGAGGTTTCCTCAAAAAACTACAGCGTGGTGTTTTTAAAAAGGGGATTAAAGAGGTTTTTTCAAGTTCGGCAATGCGCGTCTCAAAAAGGTACTATTATTTATAATATTTATTATATATATATATAATATGATATGTGGGGTACTACGTAATACTAACTTTACACGTATGTGATATATTCTTCAGCAATATAAAGTTTGTAAGCCTCTTAGTAATAAATAGAAATAAAGCACAAGTTCACTTAGTGCATTTAATTTAGATACCATATTATTATTGTATTGTATTGTAAAAATCTTTATTGTACATAAGGCAGATTAAATACTAGTAAATGATTTAGTATACAATGGCGGACTTATCCCATAAAGGGATCTCTTACAGTCAACCTTTGAGAAGCTGAAAGAAAACTGTAGAATGTATAAGGGTAATAACCGTACAATTAAAGATAAACTAAATAATACCCAGTAAAAAAAAAAAAATTGAATATATAACACAATAAAAACAGCTCTATATACCTACATATGTAAATAATAAAAGTAAATTAATAATAATATAACATTAATAAATAAAAACTTATACACATACACATACATATATACACATATACACACATACATATACATATATATATACATATATATACATACATACACATACATATATACACTCCTACATACACATACATGTATACATAATAAATACATATATTCACAATTGGCTCAATGAAGAGGGATTTTCAAAATAAAATTTTATGATACCTGCTTTAAAAGATTTCAGCGACTGTGCCATCTTTAAGTTATTAGGAAGTGAATTCCAGAGACGTGCAGCATGTACAGTAAATGACATGGCATAGCTTTGAGTATTAAAACAAGGCAAATCTATAATGAAGTCATTACTGCATCTCAGGCGAACATCAATTTCGCGAAATTTGAATCTTTCCTGAAGGTAATGTGGACATGTTGGATTAAAAAGGATATTGAAAAGAAGAGTAAGAATGTGGACATTTCTCCGTAGCCTGATAGGAAGCCATTTGAGTTGACTGCGATAACTAGATATGTGGTCATACTTTCGAAGGTTATAGATGTATCTAATACATTGATTTTGCAGTCGTTCAAGTTTATCAACAAGCTCCTGTGTGGGATCTAGGTAGGCAACATCAGCATAGTCTAGAAGAGGAAGAAGAAGAGATTGAGCCAGTAAAAGTCTAGTTCCTAAAGGGAAGAAGTTCTGCAGGCGCTTTAAGGAATGTAGTGATGCGTGGATTCTTCGACTTACTTCACCTATATGAGGACCCCATGACAGTGTCTGGTCTATAACAATTCCCAAATTTTTAACAGTAGTGGAATATATATAATAATATATATTATATAATATATATAATATATATTATATTGGGATACCATATTATATATTACTATACATCAGGGATAATTAAAGTATAACTTTAGGATTCAATCAAGGGCATGTCATAGGCTACAACAATGAAGACACATCGTTATTAACTGTGATATTATGTATTCTCAGTAGTCTGTTATGTCCATGGTACTGTTCATGTCTATAGGCGACGGTTACCACTTTCCATCAGGTTGCCATTCTAAGTTGTATAAAAAAAATTCCATGTAACTTTTAATTAGGTATATCAATTTGTAAGTCTAAACTTACTTCTTCGGTAAGTAATCAACTAAAATCACTTAAGATTGAAGAACTCGTTTAACAGTGATTTGCTAATGCCGATAATATTTAAATACTGTTTCTGTTCACTAGTATTATAATAAGGAAACTCAATGAGATCAGTTTAAACCACTTGATAACTTTCCTTATTCCACCCACGCCATTTGCTGTCCCCATCTCATCTTTATGTACCTACATTTTATTGATGATATTTATTATTCGACTACCCTGTCACTGCACTATATTGACAGCTAAATATATATGGGGTGAATAGATCTTCCGTATCATAAATAGTTCCTTAAAAATCTCGTGCAATTACAATCTACCGTAATAGCGTGTATGTCAAAAACCTTAAATAGAAGTAAACACAGTACTTTGTCTATCGATAAATATAACCATATTAAAAAAATATATAAAACTATAAAAATTGAAATTTATGTAATAAATACCTATTAATTATACGTTAAAATGACCATACCGCCCAATATTTGTTTTTCCAAGTTTAGGAATGGATATGGCTGATAACTGTGAAGTATATTTTGTTGTTGATGCGAAGAATCTCCATTGTAGTACTACAGTCTAATATCTAGCAAAATACCAACAAACGGTTGTCCCGAGTAAGCTCTAGCGTGCAGCTATGATCCGATATACAAAATACAAACATCTAATATCCAATACGACGAATAGAACTGATTAGAAGTAGGAAAAGATATAAAAAGTGTATATAAATAGGTATAAATTGAAAAATAATGATATACAACGACAATAGGGCATGGGGTTGCCACATGATCACGAGCAATGCACTAAATCTATGACAATTTTTAATTAATTAAACATTTACATTGTCCCTATATCACA